TGCATTTCTTTAGTGGCTGAGATGTTAAGCAACTCAGTCTCAGTTTGCATGAGGGTGGGTGTGTCTCATTCCAGCATTCTATCTCAGTTGTCAGTTCTTGGTATCAGCATTTAGTGAGATAGTAACTGACACTGCACAGAGAAATTTAAATTATATTCCACCCACAAAACTTTCTCCATCCTAGGGCAAAACACCTACTCCCAGCCCTTCTCAGCCCTGGTGAATGGATGGAATATGTAGATCTTGGCATCCAAGGTCAAGCCCAGTTTTATTCCCCTAGGCAAGGGAGGGAGAAGTTAACTCCTGGGAAGGATGCAAGAAACCTGAACTTGTGTATCTTTCCATGGTATTTCAATCCTATTTCTTGATATTAAGGTGCCCAACACACTTGCAGGAATGAGAAGAATTTGAAGAAAATGCCCCATCCCATCTCCTTGAAGTTACCTTTGAGTACATCTTGTTATTTTTATCAAAATAAGTGGCTTCTTTTGATTTGTTCATTGGTGAACAAGTGGATCTGAGCTTGTGAACCTAAACAGCCCAAGTAACGAGATGATGGCTCAAAGGACCACAGTCACTGAGATGAGAGATGAGATGTGACATCCAGCCAGTGGGTTCTCTCATTTCTGTCTGTAGCAACTCTGGGTCTGGTTATAGCACTCCTCACCATTATCCATGCCATGCAGACATTAATAGTCCCTCGTCCTGAGTGGCTGCCATGGATCAACAAAATCTCATTTTTTCCAGCTGTCTGCTCAGAGTTCTGTTATCACAAGTCAAGCTTCAGGACGATCCACAGCAAAGGGCAGTGCAGGTCGTGGACACCATTTTTTTTTTTTATCAGTACCGGAGATCGAACTCATGACTGCCTGCCTGCAAGGCAGGAGCTTATGCCGCTTAGCTAAATCCCCAAGCCCCCTGGATAGCATTTTGAACTCGATCCCAGCTGCCTCATCTTTCCCTTGAAAGCCTCTGAGCATCTGAGCCAAGGCCACTTAGGTGAGTGTGTGCTGCTTTATGTGGCCTAATGACATGTCTGCCTGTACCCCCATACCTGTGGGATCTGTGGCCCCTGCACAGCTCCTTGCTTGATTTCTGGATTTGTTTGTTGCAGTTAAAATCCTCTGAGGCTGCCCTATCCAAGCCCTTTTGCTTTGGGTCTTGTCAGATCTTCCTCAGACCCCCTGGCCTCGTGGGTTCTCACCCTTCCTCACTCACCCTCTTGCAGCTGTGGGTTCTGTAGAATTCAGTCATGCCCTGTGTCTTCTCCACTTGCTTGCCTCTTACTGTGCCCACCTTAGGAGGCTGCTGAGTTCCTCTGAAAAGTGCCCCGAGATGTTCATGTGTTCCACATCCCATGTTACTGCAACTTTCAGGGTGTTTGTCCCTGGTGCTCCACTGGCAAGTGAGCACTTCTTGGCAGGGTCATCTTTATTCCATCCCTGTGTACCTGGAAGTAGGGAGAAAGAAGATGTTCCAGAGGAGAGACCAAGAGAGAAAGCAGGAGAGTGGAGAATGATAGAAGATATGTAACTGGATAGATCTTGTGACTGTGAAAGCATAGAAATGAGATCCAGCAGTCAGAGGATATGCTGTCACAGGTAGACTAGGACATGATTTGGCCTTTACTGTATCATCTGGCTTGTCTGCTTCCTTTCAAAGAGGATGAGTGACCACAGAGCGAGGGGGATTTAGCCTGGTGGGTTAGGCCTCTGGAGGTGGAATGGGATCAGGCTCAGCGTCCCTTCCATCAGCCGGCTCCTGTTTTACCTTGGATGGAGTGTGTGCCAACACTCTGGGAGGCGGTTCTGTCTCACTGGGTGGAGACTCAGTGGACTGGAGTTCACCCCAGTAGATGTGCCACCAGAGGTGGAACAATATCAGGTTCTACCACTTCTGAATCAGATGGCTCAGTGTGAGCTCAGAAACAGGTTCTGGTACCACACTGGGCGATGACTGTATCTCAGTGAAAGGAAAATCAGTGGCTGGAGATCTACATCAGCAGGTAGATGTGATGACAGGATTATAATGGGATGAGTTTTGGCCTTTGTTGAATCCAATCTTTGCTGGTGTCCCTTAGATGGATCCTCTGCTGTCTCGTGAGGAGGGTGTTCTCTCTCAGCAGATGACAGTCCAGTGGCCAGAGCCTTCTCCCAGCAGGATTCATCCAGGGCCACTCCACCCATGGGCTCAGACACACACCCCAGGCCTCCTCACCCTCAGGTTGATAAGCACTGATCCTCCAGCTGGTCAGGAGTCTGTGCAATTGCACAGAGAAGTCTGAGCCCTGCTTGCCAGTCAGGATATCAGACACAGCTGGGTAGCCTGGCAAGTCTGGGGATGGGTGAAAGTCTTCTTGGTATTACCCCACATGCAGCTGTGCACCAAGGACAAATGTGTGAGGCTTGTGTGAGCAGTGTGCTCTCCACATCTCTTATGCAGGCTTCACACCTGATTATATAGACATGTCTGACCAGGATGGAAACCCTTGTGTAAATCTCAAGATCTCTGATCTTTGTTTTCTTAATCTCTAAAATGAACAATTTAGCTCTTTGATTTCTGCAACTTGCAATAATGCGTATTAAAAACTATAAGCTTGTTATATAGAATTTTGTGATAGATTTCATAATTAAATAATTGTCAGACAACACCTAACACCTGTTTTCCACACTAGGACAAAGTTCCAAAGCCTTTTGAGAGACTGAGACTTGCCTGTGGCTACAAAGTTTTGCTACTGACTCGTAACCCCACCCACTACTTGTCTCATCCCATTTCTTAACGCCTGTAATATACCAACTTCCCGTCACCAGATTGCATGGTAGCTTTTTCATGGTTTGAGTTTTGGGTTTTTGTCCTCATTATCAACCTCAGGGCCTTGGGCACTCTAGTGCACTCTAGGCAAGAACTCTGCCTCTGGGCTACATTCCTAACCCTGGATTATTCCTGTGAGTTTGCACATATGCGTGTGGTGTTGAACCTTGAACCTTTGCACTCATCTACATTCATAGCCCATATGTTATCTTTTATTTTGAAACACTGTCTTGCTAAGTCCCTGAACTGCCTAGGTTGGGTGCAAACCTGCAGTCCTCCTATGTCAGCCTCCTGGAGTGCTGGGATTACAGGCACTCATCCCTGCTGGCATTAGCATACTACCTTTCATTACCTAAGGTGAGTTTTTGGCAGGTGTCCTACTTGCCTGTTCTCTCTGTGAATGAACTGTCCCTTACATCCTCAAAGGGAGAAACTTAGTTCCTGAGCCTTATCTCAGGAACTGAAATGCTACCTTATTCTTCCGTGTCCTGACTCTTTTTTTAATATATATATTTTATTTAAGAGGAAAAAGAGAAAAACACAAAACAAAACAAAGTGGTGTAAGGTTACACATAATACAGAACTACAAACAAAAATATAACAGTAAGAAATCACCTATTAATAGATTACATGTTATCATCTTGGAAATAGTTGCTCACATCACACTATCAAAGAATACAAAGTAGACATTCAAATAGAGAGACTGCAAACAGCTGTGTTCAATGATCCAAAAACATTAATATAGTCAGCTATTTAACACCCCTAAACACACTTGCTGTTATATCCGTTAGAGCTCTTTTATTTTTTCCCTCCCTCTCTTTTTTACAACAAAATTTACACATTTTGGATTTTATTACTCCTTAGTTCTTATTACTTTTTTGGGGGGGAGAGAATAAAGTCAAATATGGCAAAACAAAGCTGTCAGTCAAAACCAAGGATAAACATAGCACATGATGTAGAACAGAGTACAAGGTTATTAACAATGGTTATCAACGTTGTCTCTTGTTTCCTTAAAAAGAATTGTCTATCTCATTAGATATTATAAAGTTGGACAAAACAGTAGAGAACAAGACCAATAAAACTTAGGCATTGTAAACATTACAGGACTTCCAAAGGAGACAATAGTCAAACCAGAATGGGCATCTTAGTGAATCTTATTGCCTTCAAAGTAGTTGCCTATACCCTCAAACTTGATACTATCACACAGAATGGAACAGAGTCTAATCAGTCAAAACAAGATCGTGGGAATATTACAGGACTTCAAAACAAGTTAATAGGAAATCAAAAAGAGTTACTATTATATATCCTAATTTTTAAATTTTTCCCCTTAATTAAAATAAACATAAGAAATAACTAAATAATTTTTTAAAGAATAGTAGTTACCATAGTGTCTGTCTTTTCTTGAAATATTTGGATAAAACTTCATATACTATAGCTTCAAATATTTCCATATCAAGAAGCCCAGAATAAAGCCTTTCTAATTAATAAGTGAAAACTTTATAAGGCTTCAAGGCCACATAATGGAGAATCATGATTACCACATATTTTTATATATTTGAATCATTACTTACATTAGGGAAACTATTCGGTATTCATACATGCGAGATTGATTTATTTCACTTATAAGTATGGTCTCAAGCTGTGCCCATTTATTAATAAATATCTCAATGTGATCCTTCTTTATAGCTGAATAATATTCCATTGTATAGAAATACCACAACTTTTTTATCCATTCCTCAGTTGATGGACACTTGGGTTGTTTCCAAGATCTGGCGATTACAAATTGTGCTGCTATAAACATAGGTGCACATATATCACTGTGGTATGATGCTTTCAGTTCTTCTGGGAATATGCCTAGAAGTGGAATAGCTGGAATAAATGGGATTTCCAATCCCAACTTTTTGAGAAATCTCCAGACAGACCTCCACAAAGGCTGTACCAGTCTACACTCCCACCAACAGTGCAGGAGAGTTCCTTTTTCCCCACAGCCTATCCAGCATTTGTTGTTGGTTTTCTTGATCCTAGCCATTCTTTCAGGAGTGAGATGGTATCTCAGTGTGGTTTTAATTTGCATTTCTCTAATGACCAATGATGATGAGCATTTTTTCATGTGTTTATTTGCCATTTGCATTTCTTCATCTGAGAATTGCGTATTCATCTCAGATGCCCATTTTTGGATTGGATTTTTGAATTTTGGAGGTCTGAGTTTTTGTTGGGAGCCGCAGCCCCGAGCCCGGTCGCCTCACTTGGCGGACGTGAGGCCTGTAGTAAAGAGTAAAGCCTGAGGTAGATTACCCCTCCCATCGAGCACGTTAGTTTCCTGCTTACCGCGTAAGCAACCCGCTCAACAATATAGTCTGCCTGGCAACTGATGATGTTAGCCAATCAGCTTGCCTTGCTTACTTTAACATGATTGGACACTGTATCCGTATATATACTGGTGCCACCCCTGGGGGGGAAAAAGAAGCCCGGAAGTAGAAGCCCAGAAGGAGCCGCGGGGAGCGGACCAAAGGAGGCTTCGGCTGGGAGCAATCCCAGGGCAGGCTGTACGGAGAAGAAAAATAAAAGAAAAGGTTGTCCACTGCCAGGCTTTGTCGTGTGTCCTTCCTGCCGGCCGGGAGCGGACATCGACATTTGGAGGCCCGCACGGGGACTGATCACCCCCGAGACGTGACAGCGGACAACGCTCCAGTACAGAGCTGCGAGACAGGTGAGTTGGGGATAAGCCTGGGCTCTGGGTGGCGCGCACCTACAGGGCTTTTAGACTCCCCTCAGGCTCACGCGTAAGTGGCGGATTCCTTGGGCCTCACGCGGTGAGTAACATATTAAAAAATGGGAAACATGCTAGGTAGTAACATTAAGAGCGAGGGTGGTTGTGGAGAAAGCTCTCAAGAGCTTACAAAAGTACGCAGGGTATTTGAGCAGGCCCAGTCGGGGAGCTCCCGAGAGGGGCCCGTCAAGGGGAACAAAGATGCTAAGGAGAAGGACGGGGCTCTAGCCTCGGAGTCGTCTGACTCCGAGGACGAGGGAAAGTTGAATGACAAGGAGGCCAAAGAGACCAGCTGTCAGGAGCCTAAGTCGCTCGATAAGGAGTCGCAAGGTTCTTTCCCAGCGTTGCGCCGTGAATTGCGCTCCGCTCAACTTGGTCTGCGGAGGAGTAGAGAGCTCCTGAGCGCTCCCCGGCGCGAGAGGGAGGCGAAGCCTTCCGCCCCACCTTGGGGGCTGTTCCCGGAAGCGATCCCTCGCCACGAGGCGGCCGCCCGGGAGCTCCCTTCCTCTTCGCCAGAACAGGAAGTGATGCACGGGCCCCCATTTTCCGCCCAATCACGGCCGCCGTCTTATGCTCCGCCGCCGGCGGGTCGGTATTTTTACAGGCGGCTTTGGCAGGGGGGACGTTTGTCTCATGAGGTACATCCACCACCTGGGATAGATAGTGGCCCCTACGGGATATTTCCTGTACAAGTAGCTATGGGCCAGGGACGTAATGCATGGGAGCCTTTTGAGATAAAGCAGATTAGAGAACTTAAAAATGCAGTTACAACCTTTGGGCCGACTGCGCCTTACACCATTGCCATGCTGGAGAACCTGTCTTCTGGGCCCCTCACCCCCGCGGACTGGATTCAGCTGGCAAAGGCGTGTCTGCCCTCGGGCAGTTACCTGGATTGGCGAGCCTGGTACGCAGAGTTCTCTGCAGAGCAGGCTGAGAGAAACGCCAATCGGGGAAACCGGGGGTGGAACAAGGAAATGCTTATGGGAGAAGGTCGGCACGCTGATGATCAGACTCAGTTCCCCGGCGCTGTCTATGAACAAATCAATGCCATAGGGCTCCGCGCCTGGAAGCAGGTGAGTGGCGCCGGAACAGCCTCCTTGTGTCTTTCAAAAATAATTCAGGGTACCACAGAGCCATTTGTTGACTTTGTGGCCCGAATGCAAGATGCTGCCGATAAGATATTTTCTGATCCGGGAGTGGCTCGACCGCTGGTAAGGCAGCTGATTTTCGAGCAATGTACAAAGGAGTGCAAGGCAGCGATAGCTCCTCATAAGAACAAGGACCTCAACGCCTGGATTAGGATATGCAGAGAGATAGGGGGGCCGCTCTCCAACTCGGGAGTGGCTGCTCTCCTGGCCGCGGCTGTACAGCAGAGGGGACCTCGCGGGTTAGAAGGGGAATGTAAGGCTAAAGGGTGTTTTGCCTGCGGGGAGCCAGGACACATTAAACGTCATTGCCCAAACAATACAGATGCTAGGCCTCGCCCTAGGAATGAAGAACCATATGTTTGTGGGCGATGCAAGAGGGGATCACACAAAGCTGAGGAGTGTAGGTCGGTCTTTGATGCTCAGGGCAACCGTATTTGTGGACGAGATGCTAGAGGGCCAAAAAACGGCCAGAGGGGGCCCCCTTCACAGGCGGGCCCCCGCCCCAGGGACAGGACAGCTCAGGATGGCAGCCTTCAACAAGGGCCACCCCTGGGTCAGCAGGTGTGGACCTCAGTGTCGCCTCCAGACTTAATATTGTCTCCGATTCTAGGTATGTGGTCAATGCTATGCAAGTGCTTGAGACTGCCGGTTTAATTAGATCCACTTCCACAGTGGCTGGGCTGTTCCTGTCTATCCAGACATTGCTTCAGAACAGACACCATAAGGTCTTCACCACCCACATAAGAGCACATACATCCCTGCCAGGGCCCATGGCACAGGGGAATGCGGCTGCTGATACTGCCACTCGCCCGTTATGGATTTTTACCTTACTAACACCAATCGAGCGAGCCCGTGCCTTCCATGATAAGTCTCATGTCAATGCCAGGACACTAGCAAACCATTTCCATGTTTCCAGAGCAGATGCACGAGATATCGTGCGACTATGTGACTCCTGTGCCACATACAAACCTGCCATACCGATGGGAGTAAACCCTCGAGGTTTGATCCCTGGTGATGTTTGGCAGATGGACATCACACATATACAGGAGTTTGGGACTCTTAAATATGTTCATGTTTCCACAGACACCTGTTCTCACGTCATATTCGCAACAGCAGAAACAGGTGAAAAAGTGTCTAATGTGATCAATCATTGCCTGGCGGCTTGGGCCGCATGGGGCAAACCAAAAATATTAAAAACTGATAATGGACCAGCCTATATAGGCAAAGCCTTCAATGAGTTCTGCAAAATGATGGAGGTTCAATTAAAACATGGTATCCCATACAATCCCCAAGGTCAAGGAATCATTGAGAGGGCTCATAGAAGCCTCAAAGAAATTTTACAAAAACAAAAAGGGGGAGTAGGCCAAGGCCTGGCCCCAAAGGCGCGATTATCCATGGCACTATTCACACACAATTTTTTAAATTTAAATAATGATAATTGCTCCCCAGCCGTGGAGCACTGCAACCCTTCCCCCAACCATAAAGGGTGGGTGAAGTGGAAAGATGTCCTGACAGGACAATGGATGGGCCCGGATCCAGTGGTCAGCTGGAACCGAGGCGCGGTTTGTGTTTTCCCACAGGAATCGGGACGAGAACCACTGTGGGTACCAGAGAGACTGACACGGGCGACAAAGCCCTCGACTGAAGACCAGACCTGCCCTACCGGAGATCCATCAGAGACCGACCAACAAGATGAATAGAAATAGCGGTAGCCCGAAATGGACAAGAAGATCCTCAGGCATATGCATGGCTCGCTCGCCTAGCCTACGACCGAGTCTAGGGGTGGTGAGCTTCCCACACTCCTCCTCTAAAAATTTATGACATAGCTGGGTAGGAGAGTCAATGACGGGTAAGAGCGTACTCGCCCGGTGCGACTCAACCTAAGCCAGGCCCTACCCCATCCTGCACGTAAGCCGCTGGACTGTTAGATGCTGCCCAGGTCTAAATTTCTCTCCGAGGGGATTTCTTTACGGAGAGGAAATGAGTGCAAGCTTGTGTGCATCCAGGTTCCGTCCAGTTTGTGCCTGGCCCTAGAAAAAGGACGAGGGCCTCAGGGCCTTGGCAGACCATGGGACGGCCGACCAGGGTCTAAGCCAAGGACCTACGGTGGGCCTACGCATAGGGCATAAGCCTCTGCACCCAGTCCAGAAAGGGCTATGATGCGCACATTCATAAAAAATAAAAAAGGGGGAGATGTTGGGAGCCGCAGCCCCGAGCCCGGTCGCCTCACTTGGCGGACGTGAGGCCTGTAGTAAAGAGTAAAGCCTGAGGTAGATTACCCCTCCCATCGAGCACGTTAGTTTCCTGCTTACCGCGTAAGCAACCCGCTCAACAATATAGTCTGCCTGGCAACTGATGATGTTAGCCAATCAGCTTGCCTTGCTTACTTTAACATGATTGGACACTGTATCCGTATATATACTGGTGCCACCCCTGGGGGGGAAAAAGAAGCCCGGAAGTAGAAGCCCAGAAGGAGCCGCGGGGAGCGGACCAAAGGAGGCTTCGGCTGGGAGCGATCCCAGGGCAGGCTGTACGGAGAAGAAAAATAAAAGAAAAGGTTGTCCACTGCCAGGCTTTGTCGTGTGTCCTTCCTGCCGGCCGGGAGCGACATCGACAAGTTTTTTTAATTCTTTATATGTTTTAGACAAGAGTCCCTTGTCTGAGAGAGAGTTCACTAAAATCTTTTCCCAGTTTGTGGGTTTTCTTTTCACTATGCTGGAGATTTCTTTTGACATGCAGAAACTTTTTAATAAGAAGTGGTCCCAGTTATTGATTCTGGGAAGTATTTCCCGTGCGGTTTGAGTCCTGTTCATGAATTCTCTACCTACTCCTATGTTTCCAAGGTTTCTACCCAATTTGTCTTCCAATAGATTTAGTGTTTCTGTTTTAATATTCAGATCTTTGACCCATTTAGATTTTAATTTAGTACATGGTGATAGACATGGGTCTAGCTTTAGTTTTCGGCAAATGGAGAGCCAGTTTTTCCAGCACCATTTATTAAAGAGACTGTCGTTCTTCCAGTGAACCTGCTTGGCTCCTTTATCAAAGATAAGGTGGTTGAGTGTGTTTGTAGTTGTGGTTGTATCTTCTAATCTATTCCATTGATCTTCAGCTCTGTTTTGATTCCAATACCATGTTGATTTTACTACTGTTGCTTTGTAGTATAACTTCAAGTCAGGGATTGTGATGCCTCCTGCTTTGTCTTTGCTGCTTAGAATTGCCTTTGCGATTCTAGGTCTCTTCTGGTTCCAGATGAAATTTAGGAGTGATTTCTCTAGATCTATAAGGTATGTTGATGGTATTTTTATTGGGATTGCAATGAATCTGTATAAGAGTTTTGGGAGAATGGCCATCTTCACAATGTTTGTTCTTCCTATCCATGAGCAAGGGATGTCTTTCCATTTTCTGAGATCATCTTCAATTTCCTTTTTCAGTGTATTATAGTTTTCACTGTATAAGTCTTTCACTTCTTTTGTAAGAGTAATTCCTAAATATTTCATTTTTTTGCTTGCTAATGTGAATAGTCCAGTTTCTCTTATTTCCCTCTCTGTGATTTTGTTGTTTGTGTATAGGAATGCTATTGATTTCTGAGTATTGATTTTGTATCCAGCCACATTACTGAATTTATTTATTGTATCTAAGAGTATTTCAATGGAGTTTAGGGGGTCTTCTATGTAGAGTATCATGTCATCTGCAAACAATGATAATTTAACTTCTTCTTTTCCTATCTTTACCCCTTTTATTTCTCTTTCTTGCCTAATTGCTCTGGCTAGTACTTCCAGTACTATATTAAATAGGAGTGGTGATAAAGGACATCCTTGTCTTGTGCCTGATTTTAAAGTAAAGGCTTTCAATTTTTGGCCATTTAGTATGATGCTGGCTGTTGGTTTGTCATAAATGGCCTTTATTATATTGAGGTAAAGACCATCTATTCCAATTTTCTGTAGAGTTTTTATCATGAATAAATGTTGGACCTTATCGAAGGCTTTTTCTGCATCTATAGAAATGATCATGTGATTCTTATTTTTGGCTTTATTGATATGGTGGATTACATTTATTGATTTGCGTATGTTGAACCATCCTTGCATTCCTGGGATGAATCCCACTTGGTCATGGTGTATAATCTTCTTGATGATTTGCTGGATCCTATTTGCCAATATTTTATTGAGGATTTTTGCATCTGTGTTCATTAGGGAGATCGGTCTATAGTTCTCTTTTTTAGTTGGGTCTTTCTCAGGTTTTGGTACTAGAGTGATATTTGCTTCCAGGAATGACTTAGGAAGGATTGCTTCCCTTTCAATTTCATTGAATAGTTTGAGGAGTGTCGGCATTAGGTCTTCTTTGTATTTCTTGTAGAATTCTGCAGTGAATCCATCTGGGCCTGGGCTCTTCTTGGTGGGTAAGGACTTAATTACATTTTCAATTTCAGTAACAGAGATTGGGTTATTCAACAGTTTTACATCCTCTTGATCTAGCTTTGGCACTTCATATGCTTCTAAGAATCTGTCTATTTCTTCTGTGTTATCAAACTTTTCAGAGTAGAGGTTTTCGAAATAGGTGTTGATGATCTTCTGTATTTCTATTGGGTCTGTAGTGATTTCTCCTTTTTCATTTCTTATTGCATGAATTTGAGCTTTTTCTTCCCTTTTTAAAATAAGGTTGGCTAGGGGCTTATCGATTTTATTTATTCTTTCAAAGAACCAACTCTTTGATTCGTTGATTCTTTGGATTGTTTTCTTAGTCTCCATTGCATTGATTTCTGCTCTGATTTTTATAATTTCCTTTCTTCTTTTGGCTTTGGGCTTGACTTGCTCTTCTTTTTCTAGCTGTTTGAGGTGTAGCATCAAGTTATTTATTTGTATTCGTTCTGTTTTCCTGATGTGGGAACTCAGTGCAATAAATTTTCCTCTCAGGACGGCTTTCATTGCATCTCACAGATTCCGGTAAGTTGTATCTGCATTTTCATTTTCTTTTAGGTATTGTTTAATTTCTTCTTTAATTTCTTCTGTGACCCACTGATTATTCAAGAGTGTGTTATTCAGTTTCCATGTGTTTGTGGGATTTTTGCAGTATCTTTTATCATTAATTTCTAATTTCAGAGCGCTATGATCCGATAACATGCAAGGGATGATTTCAGCTCTTTTGCACTTGTTTAAATATGTTCTGTGAGCTAATATATGGTCTATTTTAGAAAATGATCCATGTACTGCTGAGAAGAATGTGTATTCTGATGTTGTTGGGTGGAACATTCTGTATATGTCTATCAAACCCATTTGTTCACAGGTATGATTCAGTTCTGTTATTTCTTTGCTCATTTTCTGTCTGGTTGATCTGTCCCTTGGTGTCAATGGCGTATTAAGGTCTCCTGTTACAATTGTGTTACTGATAATTTGAGTTTTCATTTCTGTTAATAATTGTTTTGTATAACTGGGTGCTCTGGAGTTTGGTGCGTATATATTTAAGATAGTTATCTCTTCCTTTTGGAGTTTTCCCCTTACGAGTATGTAGTGACCTCCTTTATCCTTTATGGTCATTGTTGGTTTAAAGTTCACGTTGTCTGCAAACAGAATGGCTACTCCTACCTTTTTTTGGATTCCTGCTGCATGAAGAATTGTTTTCCATCCTTTGACTTTCAGTCTGTGAGTATCCTTCTGGGTTAGATGGGTTTCCTGTAAACAGCATATGGTTGGATTTTGTTTCTTGATCCATTCTGCTAGTCTGTTTCTTTTGATTGGTGCATTGAGACCATTTACATTAATGGTTATTACTGTTAAATGCTGGTTAATTGTAGGAATCTTATCTCTCTGCTGTTGCATCTTTATCTTTCTGTTCTGTTTAATTATTTGCTTTGCTTAGTGGTTTTTCCCTTTGTGTATCTAAACTGTCTTTCAATATTTTTTGCAGGGTTGGTTTGGTGCTCCTGAAGTTCTTCAGCTGTTCTTTGTCATGGAACTATCTCATTTCACCATCTATTTTGAATGATAGTTTTGCAGGATATATCAGTCTTGGTTGGAAATCATTTTGCTTTAGGATCTGGAATACTTCACTCCATGCTCTTCTTGACTCTATTGTTTGTGATGAGAAGTCTGCTGTGATTCTGATAGGTTTTCCTTTATAAGTGATCTGTCTTTTCTCTCTGACAGCTTTTAATAATCTATTCTTGTGTTGGATTTCTGGGATGGTGATTATTATATGCCTGGGTATAGTTTTATTTTGGTTATCATGTCCTGACTCTTGTCACACAAGTTTGCAGCAGGAACTGTGGGTTTGTCGGAGAATCAAACTCCTATGACTAGCCTAAAGTTCTAGAAATTGCAGGATCCTGCAAATGCAGCTACATACACAGAGGACCTTATCTAGAACAAATACAGACAGGGCTACCATTTTCAGGCTGTTTGTTGTGTGTCCAACTGTAAATACCAAAGCATGAATTCAGAATTTCCGCTTGGTTATAGATATCCATGTTGTTTTCAGGAGTGTCTAAAACACCAATGTTCTCTAGCTTCTTTATTTTCATTTGGTATTATCCTCTCATATTTGCTTCATTTCCATAAGTGCGAAACACAACTTTGTTGCTTTAATCTAAATGTTGAAACTGAACATTATTTTGTATGTTGATCACAAGTTGCAGTTTGTCTTTTGGGATTTATTTATTTTGTCCTCTCAGTGTCATTTAAAATTATTTTTCATGATTGCTTTGTGTAACATAGACGTTAGGCCTTTGTATCTTCAGTATACAAGTCCTATATATTAGTTAATGAAATAAAAATCTATCACTTCTTTTTTACTTGGTCATCTAAATTCTAGGCATTATTCCATCTCCAGAGATTTAATACATTTTCTATTGTTTTTGTCAACATTTTTGTGTCTTTAAAAATATATGTGGGCTGAGAATATTAGCTCAGCAGCACAGCACCTGCCTGTCAGGTGCAAGGTTGTGAGTTCAGTCCCAGGTACCAAAATAAATAAATAAATAAATAAATAAATAAATAAAAAAAATAGCTTCAAGAACTCATTTCAGGGCATGGTATGAGCTGTGGTTTTAAATTCTTCAAAACTGAAAGTAAAAATACTGTATTTTGGAGAAGGAAGAGATTTTTAAATTCATATATACTTTTTTGTTTACTCTGAATTCACTTGAAAGCTTAAAAGTTCAATGAATTTATTAAAATTTCATAAACTCAGGGGAAGGAAGTCACATAAATGAAGGGGAAGGAAGTCAAAAGCAGAGAATGAATAACAAATACATTTTAAATGGGGTTAGCTTCGTGTACTTAGTTTTCTGTTTTAATGCTTTTCAGTTTGTTCTCTTACAAATCCTCCGTCTGGGTAAATGTATCTTTACAAAACCTAAAAGAGTCCTCGTTTTTGGGTTGTTCTGGAAAGACTTCTTAGAAGGCCTGGCATCTGAATAAAATGGCTATTAAGAATTAAGATAGGTGAAATTAGAAAAATGAGTCCAAATTGAGATTTTTATACAGCGAATGAAAGACAGTCCAAGATTTAATTAATACATGTATTTGCTGAACCTGTGTGTCAGTCATGTTGAAGACTGCTCAGTATACATAGACATGTGTGTATTCATAAGAACTCTACAGTCTAGGGTAGGAAATAAAACTACAGAGAGACACATACCACCCAAGAGTGGTGCAGACAGTCTAGAACCTGCAAACTCAAGTACTACTGAGTTATTACTGTAAGAGTCCCCATGAAAAGGCCTTTTGGTGTGAAAAATAGCAATTACCCTGCTGTTCACCTCAGTTTGCTTTAGTTCATGATAAGCCTTGGACAATAATTTCTTTCAATGGAGCCATCTTCTGTCTCTCACAGGCTGCACAAGTGTGTTTGATGCTCTCCCTCATGACAAAGGACTACTACCTACCTCAAGTTACCAGCTGATCGCAGACCTCTTCTTCCATCTAAGGCCAATTTCTTGCACTTACCGGATCTGTACTGAGGCTAGCAGGCCTGGGACCCTGCTGATAAAGTTCTCCAGTCCTGGAGCTTCCCCAGGATAGAAGAACTGGACAGAAAGATACAACCTGGATTTGGAGGAGGAAGAGATAAGCTCAGGAGAGCCCACTTATCTCTCAGTATTCAGGTCTGTCAGTGATCTCTTCGAATAACTTGTAATGGGAGCTCTGATAAGTCTGCTATTAATATCTGAAATTCTATTCCCAGCTTCAAACTCCAGACTCTTACCTATGACTGTCCTCTGTGCCTTTTCATGATTATCTAGTTGCCAGCTCACATTTACTATATCTACCCTATACTTGCTACCATTTCACTTGTTGTCCTCTAGTCCTCTTTCAGGTCTATGATAATCCATGGTAACACTATACAGTTGATCTGGCCCCAAAGCCACTGTCAGTCATGGTTCCATTCTTTCCCTCACTCATCAAATCCACTCTGAGAAAGCTCTTCAGATAACACACCTGCCATATACACCGCCAGTTTGGACTCTTCTCATGCTTCACACAGCTGTAGCTCTTGAACCTACAATTTATCTTGCAAATTAAGTCATCACTGAATACATAATGTAATTGCATTGGTCCTTACAAAACACTTTCCAGTGGCCTATTTCAGGGAAGATAAAATCTCAAATTGGTACCCTAGGGATCCTATCTTTCTGATGAGCTTGTTGTGAGGCCAAACACCTCTATTTATCTCCGTGGTAGTCTTTTTCAGTATTGTGGATTGAAGCCTACCCTCAAAAGCATTTTTGAAAATATTTGAGAAAGGGTCTTGCTAAGTTGCCCAAGCTGGGCTTAAATGTGCACTCCTGCTGCTTCTCACATCCACTCCCCAGAGAGTGCTGGGCTTGTGGACACATGTCACCACATCTGTATTCTGTAGTAATATTTTAACCTGCGTCATATGATTGGGTGCTGTGATTGCTTGTCATTGGATATCCCGTTAAAGCAGAAATCCTGACCTAACTGCAACTATTTTGGACAATCAATCTTAAGTCATTCTGTTCTCTGCCACTGAACTTGGCTAAATCACTTGAGTCATTATCAAATTATAATTTCTATATATGTGCCAAAATCAGTTTTGCTGCATACAGCTGTGCTCACCACAGATACCCATTGTACTGTCACCTTTGGCTATTCTTATCTTAGTTGTTTTTAACTTGTTTCCACTCTGTAAAAGACATACACTTTTTGTCATCAGTACATCAGACTTTGGAGACTCCTCCTCTCGGGTCTCCTGGCATTAAATAAAGTTTCTTTTCTTTTCCTAAGATCCTGACTGCCGTTGACTCAGTTTCCCCACAGCACCCCCAAAACCTTATGCACTCATAGATGGGGCCTTTGAGAGGTGGCTAGATCATAGGTGCAAGTGATGCTGGGTTAGGGTGTGTGATATTGGGATTAAGGGTCTGTAACACTGGAGTAGTCATTAATTGGTTTTGCAATTGATGAGGTGTCTGAATGCATTTACCAATGACAGAACCGTGCCCCCCACCCCCATCCGAGGTGTGGCACCACACAGTAGCCTTGTGGCCTGGATGTAATGTTGAAGACTGCTCAGTATACATAGACATGTGTGTATTCATAAGAACTCTACAGTCTAGGGTAGGAAATAAAACTACAGAGAGACACATACCACCCAAGAGTGGTGCAGACAGTTTTTCTCCACCATGACTCTGTGCCATGCCACCCTACCTTAGGCACCAGCTTCCTATGGATTGAAACTGCTACAAATTGTGAGTTAAAATTAAGCCTTTCCTCCTTTTATTTTGGGTGTCATGTAGTTTATTTCAGAAATGAGACAAATAATTAATACATGTCCTCATAACTATCTCTTCCCCTAATCCACTCTGACTGAAGCTCTTCCAGGCACTTGTTCTGGTCTTTGTACGGTGACATCTTAAGCTACATGGCCAAAAGAGAGAAGGGTTGGAGGGGAATGCATCCTGCTTGCCGTAGTCTCTCTAGAATCTTTGAATCAGAGTGAAAACCATACTCAATATGTCAACTCTTTTTAGAATACTCCAGGGGAGTTACTTGGGCAGAGCTTTCCACTCATCTGTTTAGAACACGGTCTCCCAATGTACCAACTCTGACAGGGCAAGAAATTCCTTGAGACATATTGTCTGAGATCTGGTCAGTTGGGATCCACTGGGGATGTATGAGTCCCTAAGATACTTCTAATAATTCTCCTGGAGATAATGTCACTGTGCCTTGGGCAGTGATGTAAGAGTCCTAAGAATGATCGGTGGAATGTGAAGAGGGACCACTGGGGAGTGACAGCAAACCCAAACATCAGTCTCAAGTAAAACCACTGTGACACACGAGCTGAGTTTCCCTTAGACTACTGTCCCACAGGGTTTCTCTGATGTAACAGTTTCTGTGACAGACAGGGCATCCCCTTATGCCAGAGCATAAGTAGAAACTGAAGGGGAACAAGCCAAAATTTCCTTACCAACTTTTTTTGCTGAAAGAATGTAGCCTCGCCACATCTACCTAATAGCATGTGGGAAACTACCTGACAGCAAGAGGGGCCAGCATGGAAGCCAGAGACCTGCTCATTTTTCCAGCTTTGAAATACTTTCTGGATTGCCCAGTGACATCACTAAATTTCAGTACCAGGGCCTGATGAACGCCCCATTCCAACCCCTCACCCATCTTACCTAAGGGCCAAATGATCCTTTTTCTTATCATTCCAGAAGAGACACAGCTTGAATTTCTTGGGTAAATTTTCAGTGAGAGAGAAAAGAAAGACAAGGACCCCTCCCAACCTCATCCCTTCCTCATCTAAACATGTTCACCCTAAGTTCTATCCTCTAATTGATTTTGCTGAGCAGATTCTAGCTCATTGAAGTGTCTTGGGTAGACAACTTTTGGCATTTTGGGGAAATTTTGTTGAGACAGGGAAAAGGAGAAATTTCAGAAAAACGGGGAGATGTAGGAGTTCAACTTCTTTCATTTGAGAATTTATAGGATGCAAACTGCCTATATGAAATTTTCTACTGTTTTCATGTGAAAACTAAAGGAGACAAGGGCCGGTGATGGGAGTTTTTGTTGGATCATTCTGCAAAGAGGATACCTCTCCCATGGGATTTTTTGTTAATCAAATTCCTGTTTTCTCTTCCACATTAAGAAGCCAATGCATATTATTTGCAAGTCTGCAGATGAGCCATGAACTGAAAAAGAAGTTTGGACAGGTAAAAATGACCCAACAAGTGCTCTGAATGAAGTGACATATGAAAAGGCAGCATGAGGTGGGCTTTTCCCACAACCATGGGCTTAAAGTACAGAAGACAGGTGAGCACTGGAGAAGCTTGTATCCATGGGGAAAGGAAAGGACTCCTGGCCGCAGTTACAGGTGAGTCCAGCTTCCTCACCCAAGAAGCCCCCTGGGGCTGGCAGGCATGTGGGCCACCTCGCCACCCCATATGCCATACCTCTCATTGGAGAGAGCAGACTGGGGCTCAGACAGAGAAGTGGACTTCAGAAGGCTGGCCAGGCACACCTGAGGACTCCCCAGACAGGCTGTGCCCCACCCACTGGCTCTTTACAATTCTCACTAGCTCAGAGAGGTTTTTTTTCCTCATAATATAATGCAATATCTTTTTAATTTCAAGAGAAAAACAATAAAAACAGTAATAGAGAATTTTATAACAAAGTAATGGAAAATTAAAAAGGGCTAATATATTGAAAATTGTCTTCAAAGTAGCTGCTTTGATTGTAAGACATAGGCATGCAAAATTAATTAGAGAAGAAAAACAGAAACCATTTATTTCAATGAACAAAAAGAAATTAGTAATGTATATATGTATCTAGCTTTTCTTTTTCCATCTTTTCTCCTTCACCCATCTCAATTGTTCTTTCCTTTTGAGTAGTTTCTTCCTCTTCTTGATATCTATTGTAGATTATGAATATTATTTACTCTTTCAATTTCTTATAGAAGGGAGACAATATAATGTTTACATGCCAGTCAGATAGTTTTCACTTATGATTATGGTCTTGAGATGCCTCAAGTTTAATGGATGCAACTTGACACCATACACATACTTGAAATAAATAAGACTACCATATGTAAACACCATATTGTCCCCCTAGTGTGAGAAACTGAAAGAGTAAATAAGATCCAAAATCTATAATAGATATTGTGAAAGGGAAAGAAATTGATCAAAGAAAGAGAACAACTGGAATGGGGGAAAGGAGAGAAGAAGGAAAGGAAAAGGAAAAAATTATAAATGTGTTATGTGTATATACACACACACAAGAGAGCTTAGATAATGGTGCTACAGATTTTATTAGTTTAAGGAAAGGAACCATTAGTGCTCATATTTTTGATTAATTTTGCATGCCTGTGTCTGATAATCTGAGCAACTCTTTAGAAGATAACAGTATGCAATTTAATAACAGTTGTTAAGTTAATATCATCTGGTTTTGAAATCCAGATTCTTTCAGGGTTCTTTTGGTGGTATTGTTGTTGCTTGTTTCTTTTATTTATTTTTTCTTTATTCTGTGGGTTTTTCTCTTTGAAAATATACATAAAAGCCTTCTTTACGTGCTATCGATATATAACAGAGAATAAGTAGAATAAAGATGTGCTATATGTAGGCATTTAATATGCTAAGTGAGTGTGTACGCTGCACATCTTATGCAGGAGATAAGATTAATAATACTAAGAAGATCAAGCAAGACGGATTTAGAAGAGGAAGAGGAAAGGGATTTAGAAAACAATTAAGTCTATTATGTACATGGACCCACTCCCCAAACTGCTTGTAACTGCAGGTACTGCAACCATGTACTAAGAAAGAAATAACTTTGAAAAAACCTGAACCTATTTTATAACACTTCATCTCTTCCCCCTAGGCATAACACAGTGCTAAATCTCATGCTAAACCTCCAGTAAGTCCCAACAAAAATCTTAATACAAACCCCATCTTGTTCCCTCACACTAACATTCATTCCCATCTTCATCCTAACCCTAGTGGAATTTTGAAGACATGACCTCACTTCCTTGGTATTTGATTCCAACAAAGCTTGGAACTCTGGAAACCAAGCATCCATACTTTTGAATGTGTCTCCTTCCCTGATCACTTGGAAGGAGACACTCAAGAGTGGAAGATGAGCTTTTGCTGTTTTCCCGCTTTCCAAACATCTAGCCACAAAACCCACAGGAATCCAAGCCTTTTCAGATCTTGGTACAGATCTCACTGTGGATGTTTCCAACTAATGTTCAGGAGGAGTCAACAAGTAAGAGAGGCCACCCAGAGCCAGTCCCGGTCTAGTATGGGCAGTCTTTCACCACTGGGCTCTGACGAATGTGAAGGGGCTGACCCCGACAGGGGCAAGCTGTTAGGTGTCAAAATTCCTTCCTGTCCACATACTGTTTGCTATTTCATGGTTGAAAGTATGGCAAGCACTGAGAACCTATACTTACTGGATTATTGTGGATTAGTTTATCTGCCTGGCGGTTAATTCACTGACCTCAAGCAGCCATCTCTCACTCTCTCTGTCTCAAGATTATATATATAAAATCCTATGCAGCCTAATGTGGAGAGATATTTTATGAAGTGCACTCTGTAGGGACAGCCAGGAGGGGTGAATGATAACTTGTGTCACAAATGTCAAGTACTCTCTTTGCAGAGCTCCATGCTGATCATCAGCATACCATGTGACAACTCTGTCTCCTTGGACCCAGAGCAGGGACATCACAAAACCAACAGTGGCCAGTGCTGCTCTAGAGTTCAAGTGAACACAGGAGGGTCTCTGCAGGTGAGAACTCATGATGACTGGATTGGGCTCAGGACTAAGATGCAAAAAAGGGAAATCCCCTGGGTGGTGACTTGGGGCATGCCCATAGAAATCACCTGCAGTCCTATAGGCAAAGGAATTTGGCCTTCCTTATACCTCCTGGTAACTTAAATAGGCGTAAAGTTTTATATCATGCATTTGTAGAATCAGAGAAAGTATTCTAAGTCATTTCACTTTAAACCAAGCTATGGACATCTTGGTTTAGTGCCATTGTTTTACCTAACTGCCCCAAGTAGTCCATATGCAGTAAACACCAATAGCTTTCTGGGCCTTCTACACTTCCAAACTCTCACCAAGAAGGTTCCACAAAAAATAAGAGTTATGTACACTCACAAAAACAGAATTGCTAAGCTACTCAGCACATTTCTCGATAGTGATAGTGTCATCTCAAGAACATGTCACTTCAATTCCCAGTACCAAAAAATAAAAATAAAAACATACTCCTGTAGCCATACCAGGTATCAGCTGT